TCAACACAACCAACGAAAAGCTCTCCGAGCTCGCTTCTTGGTACCTCACGAAACCCCAATGGATAGGTACCGCGCTCGACTTCGCGCTCAAAGAGGAGGCGCTCCTGTACCCACAATGCGGACGATTCTCGTGGTGCTCGCCCCTGGCAAAACCGCTGCGGATGACGAAATGCTCTTTGAGCGATGGTTGCAGCGGCACCGGAAACTTCCGCGCTGTATAGCTTACAGCAGAGCTACAAGGAAGTGGACATGCGCGTAGAGCGCCATCTTCGATTTGAGGTTGCCAAACTCAAGGCGCAACGCCGACTTCCTGCGTATTGTTCCTGCGACATATGGAACAATCCACAATGTTCCTGCAAGCTCTGTAGTTTTCACACAGTTGAGTCTACGGCTACAGCAGCTCAAGGCCATAGTTTGAGCTCAGCTCATGGCCTTTCGGCTTCCCAGGCTACGGTCGAGAATTGCGGTGCGCAGAACGACGCGATGGATCATGATATTTCTAATCATAAGCGTCTACGACGTCTGGCCAGTATTGCTGAGGTCGCATATCGCGGTGCGGAAAACCTCGAGAGCTTGGCGACTTTGTTAACCGCTGGCTCACCTTGAGAACCATCGCGCTTTGTTGGAGCGACCCCTAGCTGCTGAGCAGACGAATGCGCCGCTTCATACCTGGCGCTGTTGGAAACGGGAATCATTGCACTTCGTGCTCGAAACCAGTAGCTGGTTCAGCTTCTGGGTGGCCGAGCGCCGTTGGGCGCCGCCCTGGCACTAACGCTTCCGCGTTCACTTGCGCCGGATCCCGATTCGGCTTGAGCGAGCCCACATAAAGCACCGGGTGGGTCCGCATCCTTCTCGGAAGGTTTAGCGTATACGCAAGGCCTTGCTTGGCCACGACCTCAAAAGGTTCGATAAACCATAAAAGGAGCTTCGTCTTAGCGACAGCAGAAACCGCATGTGTAGGAAGTATTTTAGCATTCAATAAGACCAGGTCTCGATTCTCAAAATTCTCCACATTTCTTCTGCTTCTTCCGTCTGCACATTCTTTCTGCATGCCTTGGCTTTCAGCCATCGCATCACGAACGTGTCGTAAGACACTCAGTTTGGTAAACAAGAAGTCATCGACTTCTTTACGCACAGTGAGAAGGTTGACATTAGCTAGCCGCTCGGCTATTCCTCCATCACCAAAACCTGCGCCATATGATAGGGGCGTCAGCGGGGCGCGTGGATGAACGAGCTCGTTCATGTAGAACAGCGTGTAGCCGGTAGACACATGCATGACAATCTTCAGAGCAAACTCCACAAGTGGCAGCATGGCGCTCCCTCGCCTCGGCGTCTCAACGTAGGCACTACGAAGAACGTCCTCGAAGTCGCAATTAACGCGCTCAGTTTGACCGTCAGTCTGTTGAAAGTCCGATAATGACATAGGCAACTTGGTGTCCAGCACCCTGAAGACTATCGACTAAAACTTCCCAGTGATGCGCGGGTTTGCCAACGACAATTGACTCCGATTTTAATGTTGTCGAAAGACACGATCCACAAGCAGCATTGCTGTACCCACACCGTCGATGCTCCATCCTCCCAGAGGATCAGTCGTAACAAATCAGGTGTATATTGACCAACAAGTGCTACCAAGTGCAGCGGGACTTCCGTAGCTCTTCCGATTAGAGGAAGCTTAGTTAAGGTCGATGACCTTCGTTCTATAACCAGTACGAGCGTAGCGGATCGCAATCCCTTCAATCCAAAAGTCACCATAACCTCAATCCAAGGCAAACAAAACCTTCCGTTTAAATGTCAAGCTGTATTTCTGGTATTTATTTGCGGCAAAGCCGCCTATATCTCAATCCATAGCTTATTTTAACAGCAAAACTTTATTAAAAGGCAGCCCAGCCACGCACTGAATTCTTGTTAGGGTGTAGCCACACCATTGTGTGATTGCACCGTCTTGTATAACCGATACCCATGTATGGTCACGCAAGATGGTGTGACCGACCCTTTCATATCAGGGTACGGGTAATCAACCTCGATAGAGAAGGGCACGGACAGAGAAATAATGCAACCGGGCGGCTGGCGCCCCCTCTGTAAAAAATAGCTAAGTCGTGTTTTGCCGGGTGAGGGCAGAGGTATTTGGTCGGGACTCGATTATGCACCGAGACCGGTTTCATCGAGGAACACGTCGGCATCCAAACCGATATTCTTTGAGTCTGTCGGTCACGAAAAACGTGCTTTTGATTATTACTCGTTAATCTTTTCAATTTGGTGTACGGAAGTGTTTTTGATGTCGTGGTCAGTTTTGTAGCATTGTGAAATATGCTGCGAGCACCTGCCCTTGACCTTCTCACTTTATTGCATTGAGAAGGCAATGCCACTGCTTTAGTGATCATCAGCCCTTTCTTTATGCTTTCGTCAAATTACGAAAAGCTTAGCGTTCCTTGAGCAACACAATGTACATGACCTACCTTTCGACATAATTTGCTTCCAATAAAGACTGTAATGCGAAATGTTAAAATGAAAATTTCATCAACATTTTTCTTGAATTATTTACCCTACGTATAGGATAATCCGCCACATTTGCATCTTGTATTTTGCGGATCAGTAGATTGCATTAATTCTTGTACAAAGTCTAAGAAATAAAACCGAAGTAACCTGTAACGTTTACTGCTACAGTCTGACGCTCGAGCTATCGAGGGCAAAAACGCACATTTGGGCAAGATCAATGGGTAGGGTTGCGATAGCAATTGGTAATTTTCTCAAAAGAAATTTCAAATTCTTTCTTCGAATGTATGTTACAAAAGGGATAGCAATATTTTGATTTACTCAAACCTAAAGAAGCACATAGTCATCTTCCTCATCCTCTCCAGTTCCAGCTCCATTGGCACTCTCATTTTCGTTCATATCATCTCCAGAAAGGCAGTCGGACATGAGTAGGTCATCTCCACTTGCTGCGTAATCCGGGCGATGTGAAGCAACCGAGAACGGGCACATACCACTGTCAGTTTTGAGCTCATGATGAAGACTCTGTACGCGCCGTTCAAAATCTTCATAATCAGCAAGATTTTCGCATAGAAAACCCAGCGCAAGTGAAGGGTCGATTGTTGTCACATTCATCACCAAAGGGCGGGAGGAATGGACTGTTCGCAAATGGGTCTATCAGCAATCCACCAACCCAATATGAGAACACACAGAAAGGCTTAGTACACACAATAATAAAATTACAAAATCGATTATCAAACACGAACCGCAGTTGGAAACGCAGCATTTAGCTCTGGCGCTGGGTGCACATCATGGGGATCCAGGAGATGTAATTGATCTTGCTGCGTTCCAACAAAGTAAACTGAGTGGCCCTTCTTGCCACCAATAATTCCCAGGCTTTGTGGAAACGCAAAAGTTTTCTGAATTGCCGGCACATAACACTCATTCAGCTGATCAAGTCCGAGTCTCAATGGAATTAAAATGAGCAGTGCCGTGCTCCAGTCTTTCCTCGTATTTGTGGGCGGATGCAAAAGTGGGTCAAAAAACTCGGGCGTGTCCTCGTTCGATTCCTTCTCCACTTTCTCCTCTTGTATATAAGATACACACAGTCTTGTGACATCATCACTGTAAACGACGCCTTCTTGCGGCACATACATGGCTAAACCTCCTCCAAATTCACGTCTATGTAAGTTCACAAGATCTCTTAGCACCTGTGCAGCGGTCGTAGGACCATACCATTCACCCGGCAGCTTATCGTACTGCATACCAAGCTTGACCATATGGTGAAGTGAATAGCGACAATCAAGGTCGGGTGAGTCTGCAAACCACCGCAGTAGTTGTACGTACGTCTCGGGTAGTCGCGTGTCCATCTCGGCCTCAAATAAGGCAGGAAGACGCCAGTCCCGTCCCAGGAGGCAACGCTGTAGGGCCTGACCTAAAATCATCTGTGCTGACCGAAGCATACAGCCCCAACCGGCATCGCTCGTGAAGTCATAAGGTGTCATCACCGGAAAATCGCGACGGTACGTGAACCAAAGGATCGACTCAAAATTTCGCTTGTACGCGTCAAAATCGGCAGCCGCTAAATCATCATAGCGTTGGCCTAGTAGCCATACAGGTGCACTGAGCACTGTTGAAGGCGTTACATCCAGTGCCGATATACCGTGAGCGAATTGCGCCATACGGCCAAGCAGTCCTCCGCCCAGATCCCACCAACCAGTTCGACCGAGCACGTCCCACAGTGCACCGGAATTCAGTATAGATGTTGATGTCACGATAAATACAGACAATGATGCGCCACACGACAAAAGTGCGTGTGTCGATACAGAACTCGTATGACTAGTACCCGCAGAGGCAGTTGACGTACGAGACTCGATATCGCGGAAAGACAGAGAATGCCATCTGACCTATCGGAATAAACGGGGAAAGCTGCATTTCAATAAAGGTGTGGTGCACACTACAAAGCCATTTTCGATGGCGCGGACAGGATTCGAATCACTCCGCACTGCCTCACATGTGCTGTCGTGGCTGTTGCGTGGCCGTAGCGAAGAGTTACCAGTAGATCGTGTGCTTGAGGCTATTCGATCAATTTATGGTGTGGTGCCTCTGGGTGGGCGCGTGGGCGGTGCAGACGGCTCAACACCGCCAGCAACGCCCAAAAACGCGGCATTGACCTTGTTTTCAGCTGCAAAAGATAGTCATGCTGCCGAAAATTCGGCTCAAGACCAAAGCGAAGAAAAATTATGGTCGACACTCCTCTCAAGCGTGCAGTTGCCGGTCTCCGGAAACCAAGAGGACGTCCGAAACGCGCTGGAGACTCTTCAAAACCAACAGAAACGTCAGACACCACTGGATATTGAGAATTTAAGGCGACAATTCTTTGCCGCAAGACGAGATTATTTTGCTGTACGCGTGGAGCTTTTACGTGCCGCGCGAAACCCGCAGCATCCGAATGCTCACGCGGCTGGAGAGGTTGTTGACGAGCTGCTCAAGGAAGGATTGCGTGAGGTACTTCTAGAAGAAGTCCATGGACGTCAGTTTGTCTATTCACCTTCCTTGGTGGGTGTAGAAATTGCGGAGCGTAACGCACTTAAAGAATGGGAGGTACAATTTCTTACAGAAGAAAAATTGTTGCGAGAATTGTTGCTACTGACTCTTGTAGCGTCTCACGAGAAGGCATCGCTGGAGAGTGCAATAAAGATAGCCAAGACTGTATTCACTTGGGAAGTGCGCGTGTTTGACGACGTGATCACTTCAAGCACATTGGCTATTACCGACGTACAGGAGATAGCACGAGATTTGACCCAAATCGGGGTTATAATTGCTGTCAGACTGTTGCATACTATTGAAGATGTACAAGATTGCACTGTTATGCTACACGTGACTAAGACATTTTTCTTGTCAGAACTAAATCGAGATTCGTACAGGGACAACATAACGTCTCCAGTGCCAGGAGTATTGTTGCTGGCTTGGGCCACATTGTTAGGTCGTCATTACCGGAAGTTGATGATGTTGCATGGAAATACTGAGCAAGTGAAAGAGCTGCAAATCATGCTGCAAGAGACCCTGACAGCAGCTGAGCGACTGCATGGTTTTCATTATCTTAATGCTTTGCTCCAATCACTTATATTTCGTAATCATGCAGAATCTGACAGTATAGCCATGCTGCACCCGCTAAGTCTACACGTGAAGAATGTATGGGAGTTACCAACTGTGGCTGTATTGAGTGTCCGCACACAGACAACGACAACACATTATCAGAATATTTGTAGCCACAATCGCGTTTATCAGCATGTTGTGGCAACTTTCTTAAACGACATGCTTTCGACGCTGAGATTCTTAGACGAGTTAAGCGGAGTTCAAGAGCTGCACGCGATGATTAAATTTGTCCTGCCTGTTCTTTCCAATGCAGATGTGGCTAAACGCACTCTCGGAATCGACGTAGAAGACGGCGAGATATTGGGTGTGGTCACTGGAGACAATTTTGTACTTGGTGATTTATTGGTAAAAGCTCGGACTAATCTACCGGGAACGTTGCTGTCCTGTTTGGAAATGTTGACGGCACTGTGCTGTCAGTATCAGGACGTGTCGTCCTCTACTGTGCTGCGTCAAGTGCTGAAGATTTTCACTCATCCAAACCCGGGTTTTACTGGTGACGCTACTAGACGTGTCTGTCGTCCAGTGCCACCAGCAGAGTACTATAAAAACCTCGCAAATGAGTCGGAATCTGTACAGTGCACGCGCTCATTTGCTTATGAGGATGGTGATGGTCGATCAGTGGTAGTTGTTGGGACGATCGGCACACTCGTCCACACAAACAGTGGGATCCAAGTGGAATGGGATCTCACAGATAGCAACGATAGCCCCAAAGTCTTGTCGTTGTGGATTTTGCTGCTGATACGCACCGAAACCTTTGCAACGATTGTCCAGTCCACGTCATTTGATGAAGTATTTCGCACAGATTTGGAATTAATTAGCATACTGAAAGCGTTTTTTGAATTTATCGTCCATCTAGGACCGGAAGAAAGTGGTGGACATTTTGCCTTGGAGGAAATGCAGCGAAGCTGGGGCGAGGCCAGACTTCTTCGATGGTGGACAAAATATCAACTTTCGTCGCGTGAATTGTACGTGCCTCTGCTTGTACGACAGCAGGTAACGCTTCCGAGGTTGCTGTCTGCGTCCAGCGAAAATCTTGTGTCTTGGGGTGTTCGGGACCGATACGTACGACAGCAAATTTTGGCGCATTTTGAAGATTGTAAACGCTATGACGCTGACAGTGTTGGCGATGTAAGCACTCTTAACGTGTTTGCTGTTGATGGAGGTATTCACTTGCTTCATTTTTTATTGAATGTGCTTGATGGCTTCTTGAAAGCTTCTTCGGGCGGTGAAAGCGAAAGCGGGACAGCGCCATATATTCATTTTGTGAAAACATGTTTTCTTGCTTTTCAAACGCTTCTGGCCTCAACATTTGGAGTCAAGTTATTGATGACTTCCTTGCTAGATGGAGGACAAGCGGAGTGCGTTCATTTGATTGTTAAGACCGCCAGAAAGCTGTTTGAAGTACAAGAGCGATTAGTGGGAGTCTATTCAGTAGTACTTGCAACACTAGAGATTTTCATTAGTGTTGTGCGATGGTTCTTGGCAAAAGAAGCTCAAGCACTTTCAAATTCAGGACCTATTACGGAGTCGTTCGTAGCGATGGAACGACTCTGGTTTGTCAAAGGCGCAGAGTTCGCGATCGAAGTGCTATCAATCCATGAAAGCTGGAAGTTTGTGTCAGTTGGCGAACGTTGTGAGGTCTCCGAACGTTGCATTCGTTTGCTTTACGTACTGGTGCATCCGCGCAAATACTTTCACGAGCAAAATGAAATGATTCTTGCTCTCGAACAAGCGTTGTGCGACTCGTTGTCTACCGATATGTCGCTTGTAGCAAAGGTGTTGCGATACTGTTATGCTTCAGTATCTCGTTTGGCAAAACACTCTATTGACAATTGGAACAGTGCTGCGACTCCCGATGCAGATACTGGCTTGAAAGCTGAAAAGTATTTGTCGCTTATCTATGAAAGCACAGCTGGTAATTGTGAAGCCAATATTTTTCAGCATGAAAGCCTCGTAATAACATGTTTACGTATCATCGAATTGCTTCTTGCAAGTAAGATGGATCGCGATGATGTTGCAGCCGCTCGCAAGATCTTGCTATTACCCATTAATGGGCTCAACCTTGACTTGTCACTAACACTTGTCACGCTATGTGGTTGCTACCTCGAGTTTTATGTTGATGATTCACCTGACATCGTGTATTGGTCATTACGGATTCTTCAGCATTCCGCTGTCGCGCTAGACTGCCGAGTAGAATATGAAACTACTTCTATGCCCTCGCTTTTTGCTTTGTTTTATGAATGCCAGGACATAGTTTGTGTGCGCAGCAGGTTTATCCAACTATTACAAGCATCTTCACCTCAGCATTTGGCAATACGAAAAGAGGTGATTGAATTGCTAGCCTTGTGTTTGGAGCATCAACCAAATTTTTTAACGCTTCTAGTTTTTGGAAGCGAATCAGATACGAACAAAGTAGAAAACTCGCTGTCATTTCTTACAGTGCTTACTCAGCAATTCGATGTATCTGAGAGGCTTTTGGAGCAGTCATCGGACTTTCTATGTGCACTATTAGCTTTCCTCGCGAACGTGTGGGAGGGTGCCGTTAATGAGGGTCATTGCTTGCACATGAAAATCATTACAGCTTTACGTGCACTTCCTACATTCTGGCCTAATGTGACCCGAGTACTGAAGATACACATGCCGTTGGACTCAGTGGAGTATGGTTTGCTGGATATGGAATTGGCAGTCGCTACTGCACAAGGTCTGGGGGATGTTAAGAGCTTGTCTAGCTTATACGTTGGACGCTCGAGTGCTTATGGATATTTAGCCCGCGGTCTGATTCTCCAGTTGATTTCACTCGAGTGGCATAATGAAGCGTCAACGCAGAGCGACCACCCCCTTGTCAAAGTACTAGAGTCGTTTCGAAAGGAGGGTTTGTATTTGCACTGGTTACGCTCGTTGACTCGATTGGACTATTCACCAACTCTATTAAAGCAGCAAATGTCGTCTATCCGACGTATTTGCACGGCAAATAAGCCTATCACAAATTTCTTGAGCGCACTACCTATCGGCGAGATCCAAAAGTACGCTGAGGGATTAATTTGTGACGAAAGAACGCTCAAGTGGCAGTTGAGTGCAGGAGGCGAGTTGAATATAGAGACCTGTCCGGCCGATATCCGTGCGATCAAATTAATTCAGTGGGGTAACTTGCAAGCAGCGTATTTGCATGCACAGCTCTTTTCTCTGGCCAAATGGAAAGAGTTCATGGAAATGTGCTGTCTTCAGGCAGGTGCACCACTTAATACAAATGAAAAGCCGCTCAGTCGAAAAATGTCAATGATTTCGTCGCCTCGAAGCATAACGAGTAATGCTTCAATTATTGAGGCTGTGAAACCCGCTTCTCCTGCATCAAGCTCGAAAAATGAATTCTCGCGCTTTTTTGGCGATCGCACGTCGTTTGAACTGATTCAAGTGGTCGCGGACGTGATCAAAAGTCGAATGCAACAGCATCAAGTCAACAACGATCCGCTCGATTATTTCGTGATGGTGCATTTGCAAATTCTAGTAAAGCTTTTAGTGTCAATGCTGCATCACCAAATGTGTCTTGTTCTTTGCAAGACATGTGACCCCAAGCTATCGCAGACGCGACAGCGTCTTAAGGTACATGGCACCGATTCAAGTCTCAGATTTGACACGAAAACGACGCTGGAATTACTGACTGTGATTGAAAGGACTACGGCTGCAGTGCATGATTCAAAAGAGCAAATCACAAGTGAGTTCGAAGTCGTGCGTATAGGCAGCAAAAGCAAAACGACCTTTGAAAGCTTAATGGCAGTCTCGGTTTTTTGTCGCCTGGTAAAAGATCTTGAAAACAAAGTCGAATCTTTGCTTACTGATTTGTTTACGTCACTTTTCACGGCGGCTTTGATGCTCATTCGCCACTTGAATGAGATGCCAAATAAAGTCACCGATCAAAATTCAGAGATGGTTTCTGTGTCGCTACCTGAGCCTCTGTTCCAAGCAAAGTTTATCGGACATAGTACCAGAGTCATCACTTCATGTAACGACTGGAAAAGTTCCTCTCAAGTTTTGTGCCAATTAAGTTGCTTTTTGTTGATAGAAGTTCTTGATAGGGTCGGTAATCTTGGTACTCGAAAGTTGAAGCTGCTCTTGGGAAATGAAGCTGACTTAACACCGTTTGTCAAAGAGCTGGAACACCAACAAGGGATAACCACTTTGCTTCATTTGCTAATGCAGAGCTTCCGTCCTGCATTGTATACCAAGGACGTGGCTGCGCGACAAGAGGACGCTTGTTACGTGTTGCACGGTTTAGTAGCAATTGTATGGAACTCATCGAATGCTGAATTATGTCGACGAGTTATGCTGCAAGATGGCAATACGCGTGTATCAAATTGGCTGTTCATTCTGCTAGCGACTAAGCTGCTCCCATTGCTTCAAGCTCAAATGATACGTGAAGAGAGTAACACAAATCTGCGCGGTTATGTGAGTTCGGATGACCAGATGACAGAAGAGTTTAACCGATCCATGGCACACCGAATGTGGTGCCTTGTGTTAGATTTTGTGGGTGGTCTGTTGCGTTTATCAAGAAATGTGGATGCAAATGATGCGAGTGTGTGGGAGTTTTTGTCGTACGCAGAGCCTTTGATATTAGCAGGAGTTGAGTCAGCAAACAGCCGTCGATTGACTCGGGCTGTTATTGCTGAACATCAAGCACTGCTACGATTCCTGAACGGTCTAAGTGGGTCTGCTTGGAGGCGACAACGCTGGCGTCAAGCATTCCCTACGTCTCTTGTGGTGCTCATGGAGCAATGCCGCCAGTTCCTTCGTCGTGCATGCGTGCTACTAGGTAATTCCTCATCAGAAATCCCTCGTAAGCGCAAGGATGTTAGTCCAATGAAAACAAAAGCGTTAGGCAGAGCTGTTGTTGGATTCCTCCCACCAAAGTCACCGCGATCGCCACGCTCCCCTTCAGCTTTTACTCTTGTTCGTCAGACACTGCTGCTAGAGCATTTGCAGGCTGTTTCAGAGATTGAGAAACAAGAGCTGACTCAATTTTATCAGGAAATGGAGGCTGAACTTCTTGAGACTGTGCAGCTGTCAAGTCTGTTGTTTGTTAAGTGGACCGCGTCTTTGACGGAAAGTGTTGCAGTCGTTGTGGTCAATGGAGTACGTCATGTGGATGAAGAGCAGCTCGTTCCTTTACTCGAATTTATACCACCGAGTGATGCACAATCAATGAATAGCAGATTAGGTTTGGGTCATTTGTGCCTTGCAATGGACTTTATGCTTGATCAGCTGGAAATGGCAAACGACTTATCTAAGAGGAGCATGGTGGCAAATGCAATTAACGTAAGTGCATTGCTGTTTATGAAAACGTATCTTCTTCATGCTGAGCTGTACGAGCTGGTCAAACGTGACTGTGACGAGTTGAAAACTTTTATTCGTCAGTTACGTGACCGAGTCTCCGAAATCGACGCTGCTGAAATCGATGCGCAATTATTTGAGCACATTAGCAAGGTATGATGCTAGACTTGTATGTATGGAGTTACTCGTTCTGACTTAAATTTTTGGTGGTATAAGCAGATCATAGCTGCGTAGTTAAATACCGAGGAAAAGAAACTTATATTCAATGTTACAACAGGGCTATCTTCCCACTGAATGAGTCGACGAATGTTTAATTTGTTATCTCGGTGATATAAATGTTTATGTATTATATCAAAAAATAGATTCGGTACATATTCAAACTGTGTCAGCTAAGCACTTTAAATTTATGTTCTCTACATCTTTGGTACAAATGCATAAAATACAATACTGTACAATTGTATTAGTCGTATCAAATGTATACGTGCTAATCTGCACACAATAAATATCACAGAATATATCCCAATACACCCCCCTTTCTAGGTAAAGCGCACGAAAATCATACGTACGCGGCTGTTTACGCGGACTATTTGAGTTAAATCTTCCTCTTTGCTAAGTGTGCTGAAATCTCGTTACTCATGGCAACACTTGTAAGCAATCCTCTCGACCGGTTATGAGAGAATTAAATGATTTGGAGGGATTGGACATGATATGTTTTAATACCTGATTCCGGAACAACTAGGCTGGCTTGATAAGCTTTTGTCTGTAGTTGGCCCCGATGGGCTTAAAGTGCTGCCAGGAAAAGGACCAGATACGGAAAACGATCGCCTGGTGACGTTCAGCTGCTATGAAATTGCGTAGGCGAGAAAAATTGAGGAGATCCCCAACCAGGACAGATGGTACTTACCGCAAGACCATTAATGTTGTTCAAAATGAAACTTTTAAGACCAGAAGAACAGAAAGATTTCTTTCTGACGAATCAAGTTGAGGTGGCAATAATTTCTGGCCACTTTCCAACCAAAGCAATACCATGAAAAACTTGCGTGTCCCAAGCCTCCACTGTCGTGCAGTAAGAGATGTTCATAACAGGTTAAGACTTGAAGCGAAGATGTTGCCGATGTTTGAACCGTTCATAAGACACGGATGAGGCGTTTAAAGATGGCGAGAATTAGCAAACTATGTTCATGAAGTATAAACTTTATCACCGCAATGGCGCCAGACCCTGTCACGAAAGCTATCATCACGACGTAAGATCTCCTAACGATTGCATCTGACACCAACCCTTACCGAGCTCACTTTTCCTCTTTTGAGAAAGATGTGTGTGTCGCGGTCAGAGCGGTGTGCCGCGTAGCCTAGATGGGGTACTGGAGGTCAGAGTACTTTAAGCGCGCCAGAGGCGATGAATTCCCGCAAAACTGCAGAGAAAGAACGATATAATCTAGCTACTGAGCCTCACCGCAGACTACGATGATATTTCCTTTGTAAGAGTATTCAACATTGTCGCATTGCTTGCCTTTTCGCTCTCGGCTGAGAAGTACAATTGTTTGGATCCTTATGCAAAGGCGGTCGACGATACAAAAAATGTGAATTGGTGAGATTCACTTTTCACCGTCCTCTTTTATATACTTCGCAAATGTGGCAGCTCATCGGACAGTTTCTGCACTTTTGGTGTGATTCCATTACTCGACCCTTATTGTGCCTACTCTTCTCGACATACCCACGTCGGAAGTCGTTTTTTGTACACAAAGAAATGCTTAGCAACTCTACAATAATGGCGGCATCCTCGCAACAAGCACTCTGAAAGGAATCATCGGCAAGCATGCCGAAAGGTTCTCTGATGAGAGCAGCTGCCGTGACATTCTGAGACTTGGTCAAGGATATTGACCTCATCTGACGACACACAGTCAATCCATCAACCGAGTAGTAGGCGTTCGTTTTAATTTTCACTGCGAACTACGTACCATTAGTCGGTGGTAAAAGTGATGTTATAATGCGCCGTGGAACTCACGCGATGTTCGGTTGGTCAGTCCTACTCCAAGAACCCAGACTTGATCGACTAGCAAGAGCAACACCGATTCGTGCTCATACCATCTTGTCGTGAGAGTGGTTGAAAAAGGTCTGAATCCGCTCGCCGCACTAGGAATATTCTAGCAGCGGTTGTGAGAAGACGTCCTCTGTGCTAGGAATATACCTTGTTTTTAGAGCTGTCAAGAGTACAGATGGCCTTCCAGCTCAATCTGCGCACCGGATGAGGAAAACACTCCTTTTATCTAGCTTTGAGCTTTAACAGCCGACCTCGGCAATGCAGACGTTTGTCTGGAGTGTCAATCCACGCTTGGATATGCAAAGTACAACGCAAGAAAGGTGTATAGTTGTATACCCATCACCTTCAGTTCCTACTGTTTGCAGCCCCGCTAGTCTTCAAGAGACAGCTGCCAGAACTACTGACAAAAAACTACACTCAGCACAAGGTAGGCTCGCACAAACTGGATGTCCGCTGTCGCGAGCGGTACTGGCTTTTGTCCAACATAGAAAAAGGCAAGAATCCCATGCGGTAAGGTCAAACCTACTGAAAAGTTTCACATGTGCACACATTGGTGCTCACCTTTGTATTCATTTTGGATCACGAATACATAACACTCGCGTCATCTCCTATTCAAGGCGGCCGCCCAAGAGGGTAGAACAATATTATGTACTTGAGGACCTAACCATGAGGCAAAACTGCATGATGAGTAGTTCTGAAATACAGCAATCCCTGTAATAACGTTGTAGACTGTAATCGCATCTTCCGATAATGCGATTTATGTGTCCTCAAGCACCTTGCTTACCACATGTACTGGCGATGCATCACATGTTTCATCTGATTTGTACATTTGATGTATCGGATCATTAATTGGCGGTGTCACCTTTGAAACATGCAGCAGCTAATAGTCGGGTGACGGATAAGCGCATTCCCTACCGCTCCAACCTGACCAATTTTCACCTTACTCCAATGACAGATTGACAAAGAAGGATCAGTATATTGATTGGATGTCGCTGTGCGCAGTAATACAGGATCTGTAAAGTGCACAAACAGTGAGAGCCAGACAGGCACGTCATGTTCTCACGTCCAGCTACATAAAAGCTGAGGACAAAAATAGAGCTTACGACATGGTAAATCGCTCCTTTACATGGCAGGAGCATCATGTTCTCTCGTCCAGCTACGTCAAAAGGGACAAAAAAAGAGCAAACAACATTGTAAGTAGCATCTTGTCATGAACAGGGTAGTTCTTCTCACTTCTTCTCAGCTAGCGCGACTCTGCTTGGCGTAAAGCACAGCTTAGTGCAAGCCGACATTATTATTGATTACCTATATCGCTGATCTGGATTTCTGGGTCTGGAAGAGCCAGAATCACAGCACGCATATGACTTCTTCCTCAGCTTTAAAGTCCGCCTTTTTTGTTCCAGCAAAGCTCCGATAAACATTCTTTAATTACTATAGTGAGGGGCCGTGCCATGCCGGCATCAATTGCAATATACTTGATCAAAGAGTTGTTACTACATCAAGACATTTTGGGACGAAGGAACTGGTCAATATTATACAATTTTATCCTTGCGAAATTTGCTTGCATACCAGGATTTCCAACGAAGAAATTTAAAAAGGGAAATTTTACCGGCGCTATAAACACGCTCGCAAATAGCTGATTTAATTGCACACACTCAAGTATCGCTTTTAAGTGTCTAGTGGCGAGGGGATATCGACGCCTCCTAGGATTTCAAAGTCTCCCCATTCACAAGTGCCTGATTTTCTTTGCGCGTGCCCGTTGGGTTTCGATGATTCGCATAGTGGACCAATCACACAGACTCAGTAACACCATCACATCACGGCTAGAACGAGTCATTTATCATTGCTTCAGCGTCCTGCACTTTTACTTGCGACTCACAATGACATTTAACACTTCAGGCAGAGTTGTATTATTTTCAATACTGTTTAGTTGGACAGATTTTATATTATTCTTTGGTGTAATTTTTATATTCATAATTATCGCAGTATTGGATATTCCGCTGACAGTGGTGAGTACTCCAAGCGGGATGCTCTGGGTGTGGCTTAGGATGCCCCAAGCGCTGTCAAATGCACCAGCAACATTTAATTGCCTTGTGACGCAGTTGTTCACTCCCCATCGGGCGTATGCACAGACATACTTTGATGAAGTCTTCGTCCACCGTCGCTCATGCGCCGCCACCCACACATCAAGTTATACAGACATTTTTTGTCATTTTCAAACGTACTTACTTGGTATTAATCTACAAACCAGAAGTTTAGCCATGAACTTTGGAGAAAGCATACAAACTGCCTTACTCTGCGCTCTTCATTATAAGAATGATGTTGTTTTCAGTACGTTTGGGGTGATAGCCATAGAACATCAAGCTTGGTCAACGGCAAGGCGGCTCGATAGAATAATTAAAGAGCCGATTACAAACACCTTTTCAAGAGCTATCATCATATTAATGTTGCGCAAATGAGTAGCCATCCCCCGTCATAGAAAACAAGAGGGGCATTGTGCGGCAATTTGTTACTGGTCAAGTAGGGCATAGAGCTAATTTAACATGTTTGATACTTTATCAGTCCTTCTCGCAACAGAAACACTCGTTCAGGTGCAAAATATTTGTTTAAGTCCAAGAGAAATTTAGAGTCTATGATAGGCTGGAACCCTTTTGTTTCTACACCTGAGTAACATAAATCATCTAATTTTAGAATGTAACTCCATTCGCCACGCGATTCAATCTGAATGCATCGTTGAGCAATAAATCTTCCACTTTTGAAAAGCGTAAGCGTTTTTGAAACGGGCGCAAAACTGCGAAAATTTTGCTCAGAACCCCGAATTGCTCGCGATGGCTCAAAATATGTTGTTAAAAAGCTTGAGCTGAACTTGGAAGGCTAACGCAATTCTGAGGTGCTGCCTACCAGGATATGCCGTTTTAAAACGGATAAAAGCAATTTTGTGCGGGTCCAACAATTGAAACGTATTGAAGTCTGTTTGAGCCGCGGTCTTTACAACAACATCTTGCAGAAAGGCGACTGAGAGTTGATAGTATGGCTTGACCATTGCAATATAACCCGTTAATCATCTTTTCAACATTCCGACGCTTTTATTAATGTAGCAACCCCGAATGACCTGCTCACCATGCAAACCATCAAAGCTATACGAGTTTTCACGAAACAATATAACACACTTGTAAATAAGTAGAAGCAAAAGATCTTAGTCTACCATCTCTTTTATCGTTATAGAAGCTCTTGTGGGTATCAAGCAATTTCTTCTAAGAAATGCATTCAAAGATTTGCATAGCAGTGACCTCTTCGATTCGGTACTGATAGTACCGGATTGGGTGCTGAGTCGATTGATGCTCAAGATGCGTTGGTCATTGAGAACGCACAAAAATTCCTATGTGCATGTCGCGAACCAGCTTTTCTTTAGAACTCTTTGTATCCATTTTGTAATCGCTGAAGGAGTACCACAGTGTGGTCTCAAAATACCTTCGGACTACCCAGATTGGGGTGTCCGCTATGTGTTGATCCAATTCTTACAATTTGATACTAGTTGCCTTTACCAAGGGGTCATTGAAACTTTTTTCGTGCAAAGCACTAATCGTGTTAACTGCGAGACAGTGAAATATCACGCTCTGCGCATATTTTCTTTGTCAGGAATGCTTTTGAAAGATAACACATCGTCCACGATCATAAAGCAAATGCCATTTTCTAAAAAAGGTGTGCTTTGGAGTAGTATGAACGGTGTACCCTGTTTAGCGCTTTTAATGCAATCGGTAGATGATACCAACTACTAATGCGAGTCGGTGATATTTCCTCACTGAGATAAGTTCGCCGACTAGGATGCTTTGGGAGTGGCTCATTTTGCTCCCAGGGTTGACCCTTGCTTCAACAGTATGTAAGTATATCTTTCGCAGCTGTGAATGCCTCATCGTGCACATTCAAATACCTGTTTTGACGATGATTCTCTCGCCGCTCATAGTTGTGCATAGCAACTTCGGCATCTTTATTGAGCTTGCGAGCTGTTTGCTCGATAATTTGTGCGTGACTGGCTTTTAAGTATTGTAGGCAAGTGAGACCCAGTGCCCTTAACAGCTCATATTTCTGAATTGCTGCAAAAGATAGCGTCGTAATCGCACGCTTGCAAAGGCTTAAATAAAGCGAATTCTAAATTCATGAACTTTTAGATCCAAAATGCAACGCAAGTGACATATCTTAGTACGCCGTACAGGTAGTTTCGTCAATGTTTTTATGTCATCATTGTAGTTCAATACAATTCGTAAATCAGAAATGCTTATATTCAGCTTAGAACTTGCCATCTCGCCATTAATCACTGGAAATGTAGCGTCAATCGCTGTTCCTAATGATGTAAAAATTTGTATATATCACAAATAGCTTCGAGCCGAACAACTTTACCTAGAAGCAACTTTTGAGGTATGTAGCTATTTATCGTGCGAAATACCTATTTAACGTTTGATTCATTTAATCAAACTTTAAGGTGATATCCCAAAAGATTTGAGATTAATTACGCGAACTGAGCAGTGATTTGTATCAGTCCTAAACTGACTTTATTTAAGCACAACAACGCGAAGATGCTAACTTTGAAGCAATGCACAACATACAAAAGAGGCCGAAGTGTCATAGACGACGCGCAGTAGTCTGTCCGGTGAAAATACAATTAAACTGATTCTGGGAAAATTTTCTTGCTAAAAGTCACGATTGATACTGCTGAAGCAATAGCCTCAAAACCTGTATTTTAACAGATAAATGCTGGCATTTTTTTGTTAAAAGGGCTCGGCGCGAGAATGTATATGTCCACCATAGAGCGACACTAAAACAATCGTGCTAATTGAAAAGTCAAAAATACTATCTGAAGTGCGTGCGTGGAACAACTGCGGTGCTGGACGAAGTAACTTCACATACGGAGTTTGCATTGAGAAAAGATTTATTTCTACATGCTTCATTCCATTTTTCATAAACGATTTAGAATCCCCTGTTCATCTGACACTTTCGTGTCTGGTTGGAGCAAGGGCTCTTGGCATTGATCGACCTGCCGATATTAGCCCGGCTGCATTTCGTAGCACAATATATTTAGCTCAAAATTTTTTGATTATTGTTTAGCAAGTACGCGACGCTATGACACCACACATACGCAACATACAGATGGGTAAGGCAGACGCAACACATTATTAAGAAGATGATTTTTTTGATGATTAGGCTTTATTAGACGCAGCCAGAAAGAGCTACAAACGAGACTCCCCGGAGAACCTGTGTGCTATGGTGCCCACGCAATCCATACTGGGATTCTCGTTGTATGAACCACCCAAATGCAAAGAGTTTGTTTGGAGACGAGGTAGCGTTGTATCCGATTCTGAGCATAGCTACCTCCTGCTCTCGAAGGAGCAATTCGGGTCTAGGCCAATTAGGGTATCTCCGAACAACCGTTGTAGTTGTCAATGCGCAAAAGCCGTTTCTATTGACCCTACAGAATGAGCAAGGTCTGAATCACATCGATGCAAGAAAAGTAGCGACCTGCACACAAGCCAGGATCGTGACAGGTATCTGACAGAACAAAAAGAATACTTCCACTCCGAACAATCATGAAACTTCGGGCTTCCACACCGGCATGATTGCCGTTAGTATCGCTGACGCATATTGTTTGCCATTTATTCATTTGAGTCATCGGCAGAGTCGTGCGGCTTACCGCTATTTCCGCTCAAAGCTGAGACCCGACCTTGTTTCAGTTTTGAATACTAGAAATTGGCTTTTGTGTCGGTGCGTAGCTGAACTTTGTGCGAACCGGAGGTTCGGGCGAGCTCCCACTCAGGCATCGACGCCACATTACGCAGCTTCTCCACTCCCCACAAGATAGTGTACCACCCGGATATACCAATGAATATCGGACAAACGAAAACATAAACAATCATCAACGAAAGAACATGTAGAAATTAACTGAAAAAAGTTTGGTCACACCTTCCAATCCTACTTTATACAAGCATGCATTAACTCGTATTGTATGTGACAAGCTACTATCCAGGTTTTTGGTCTATTCTGAGCATTTCGTTGCCAAGCATGTGAATGCGTTTACGCTGGATCTCCCACCTAAAATGCGCCCGTATTCTACGTTTATATGAGTCGCCTTTGCCCCTACCATGAGTACGGATCCGCTTCGATGAACCCCAGTACACATTCATTTCGCAATGGTGTCCAAAATTACTTATGGAACGTCATGGCCACCCTCAGCTCGGTCTCAAGTTCCGAGCGCGGTCTTACGTCGCTTCGAAGCCACCGTGCAGTTTAAAGCTGTTGACGAAAGCGCAAGTGCTTGGAAGTGTTTATCTCTGCCAAACTGAGCATAAGCAGTCCGCTCGTTCTGAAGCTGAAACCCCACTCGTCAGCGGAACCAACATGATCACGAGTGTCCGCTTTTCCAAGTAGTATTAATATTTTTTCATAACGGTATCATACAACCCTCTGTAAATGCACCGATAGACATTTAGGAAGTAGTGTGGGAGGTAACATGCTTATTTCACGTAGGGTTGGCCGCACGAAGAGTCAAGCGACCTTTTTTGAGCGGTATAGATGGAGTATTAAATATTCTAAAAACAATTTCTATTTCTTTTTACCAACACTACGCTACTGTTGGGCGCTTTCTACACGCAATCGTGGACGAAACTACCTAAAAAAGTCGTTCTATTTCAAAACCTGGCAAGCATGCCAAATTAAAACACAAAATAATAGCTAATATTATCGATAGCAAATATTTTTGCTGGTAATAGCCATCACTGACAAACATAAAATATCCGCAGACAAGTGCAATAATTTTTTGCGCGCAGTTCAACGCCTTGGGCTGGGGGTTTTGCTTGTTAAGTTCTCAATAAAACTCACAATAAATATTGAAAAGTCGAGTTTTTAAGTCGCAATGACGGTTATGAATACGAGGCCTTTTGGAGCAAATGTTTGCTCAGTACACAACACTCGCTATTTCCTTCGAGCAAAACAATCATTTTACTTGGCAAATTCGAAATGTCGAACAAGTACCTTGTCCCACTGTTGACCAATGTCATTGCACCAAAATTTGCCGAGTAGTTCGCACAGACAAAGAACTGATTCGACGATTCCGGGCTCATTAAGCACCGAGATGAATCTGTACTATTTATCCTAAAACGTGTAACTTTTAGTTTTATAAACCAATTTGTTTGAAGTTCACACACAAAATAGCACACCAAAATTTAATAGTCTGAGCCAATAGAATCAACTACGTTGTGAAAAGCTCTCTATTGTCAACTAAAAACGTTCTCATTGATGATCCAAGGTAGAAGAGTGTAGAAAATGCAACAGCTGAAATCGCAAAAAAATAATTTGTTGTATGATACAAGATCTTGGGAATACGATGGCTTTCATTGTTCAATTTTCTAATCGTCAAAAGCAGCATGTCTTCGGCTGATAAAGACATTTAGATGAAAGTAGTGTGAAGCCTTTTTTAATAGGCAGGCATACAATAGTAAATATGATATCTTTAAGCAGCAATGAACTATCATACCTTTATTGTGCGTCAATACCGGGTCATGGTCAATGATTTACGTCGATAAAAGTTGTTTTTTTGTGGTGCAATTTAGGTTTACAGCACGATTTAAGAAACCTAAAAATTTATTACTCATTCGTTTATTGTTGGAGCTAATATAGCCAAGATATGTATATGATCTGGCAAATGCAAGAGTGTGACGGTATTTTCCAGGAGGTGGACACAATGTTACATCTCGGACAACAAAATATGGTGGAAATATGGGCTATTCTACAAATGATATGAATTGCGTCAATGCCTACAAGTTCGAAGGTGATGATTTGCAACAATACGCAATGCTACCATCCTACAGTGAAGCTCTAGAAGTCAATGAACACAAAGCAATAATCGAAACTGCAAACAATATCTCTGTGAGAATGGTAGTAGTGTACAGAGAAGGCATTCAAGCATTTCAACATTATGCATCACACTGGATGTGACATTTTGAAAACGACAATTTCACTTTCGTTGGCTTGCTTTTGCGATGGGAATAAGGAGACTCAAATTGTTAGTGTGGCAGTAATATCGATCGAAAATCGAGACAGCTGGTTGTTTATGCGTTTCTTACTATCAGATCTCCCTGCACCACCAGCATTTGTGATCACAGATCGCGACAAAGGCTTAGTTCTTGCCGTTAAACCGATAAATTGCATTCCATATCATTTTCTTTGTTTCCGGCATCTGATGGAAATTTAAATCGCAAATTTAAATGCAAGAGACTAGAGAAAATCGCATGGCGTTTAGCCCGTGCGCTTACTGAGGAAAGATTTTACAGGGAAGCTGCTCGTATGCGCAAATCAAAATCAAGTGCGCAAAAGTGGCTGTTGGATATCAATCAAGAAAAATCCTCTTTGTATTCTAGCCCATGCCCTCGTTACAACATTCTTCCTTTGAATCACGTTAAGTCAATAAATGGTGCTTTTGTTGGGCTACGTAAGCTGCCTGTTCCTGATTGTGTGATGGAAATTGAAAGATATGTAGGGAGAAAATAGGCAGCTCATTGTTGAGTCCTCATCAAGTGGCTCCCTTACAAAAAATTATAATCACATAGAAAAACATTGGGAGCTACTAGCTTACAAGCAGTACCGTTTTCCGATCCGGCTTATCTTGTAACATCCTTGCAAATACTGGCTGCCCGCCTGTCAAGTATACGGCTATGTTTTCAGATACTCATGTAGATTGCTGCTGTGGTTTTGACCGAAGTATGCAAGCTCCTTGTGAGCATGCATTATTCTGTTTGAAGATAACTAACCGTTTCAATATTGCGAATAGATACTTTGGAATTCAGCTACATACTGTGCTGCGTACAATTTTTAGGACTCAACATTACTTTCGCCTATATGAAAATGTAACCAACTCGCTGAATAAGTTTCAAGCTGCCTCTATGCATCCTGAAAACGAAACAAAGCGCATTTCTTATTGCACCAATAGTAACAAGAAAAGATGCACGACTTAACTCTTAAATCGAGCTTTCTTTTATCTATAATTCAATATATAGGTGTGATAGGTTGTTTTCCGCACCTTCATGCTGTTCAAAACATTTAAGACACTCCTCTGTATGCCTGGAGCCGCTGTGATTTTGAATTATAGAGACCATCCGGTCTCAAATCTATATCAGAGGAGGCTCCGATGCTAGAACTTTGCATACTGGCGAATAACTAGCTCACAACTCACACAGTTGGTTGCTTTCGCAGTACTTTATCGTATCGACAGCCGGGCTCCCGTAGCTCTTTCCTTAGAGGAAGCTTACTTAAGGTCACCGACCTTCGATCGATATTAGATCCATTACAAGCGAGTATAATGGATCGCAATCCGCTATCTCCAAAAGTACCCACGACCTTAACCCAAGGTAAATACCTTTTTTGTGTTCAAAATTTTAACTTCATTTGTCTGTTTTAATTGTGGCAAAGCCGCATGTATCTAAAGCTATAGGTTTTCGTGATCAAATCGTAAAACCTAATTAATATGCATTACTACTGGCAGTCCCGCCACATAGTGGTTTCTTGTTACGGTGTAGCCACAGATTGCGTGATTTCACCGTCTTGTGTAATCCACACCTTTCTATAGTCACAGCATCTTGTTTGACTCACCCTTTCTACCAGGGTACGTGTAACCCTGTTACTCACCCCCCATCAAAATTGTGAGTACCCACTTTTCACATTTGACTTTCGCCTCGAACTAGACTCGTGTGTCTAAGACAACGTTACATCACCAGGGCCTTTTTCATGCATTCTCTGCTCTATGGTCTCTGTGTCTATGACACGAAAGATCCCACCCTCGCTGGTAACGAGGGCGACCACAGGTAGAGCCCTTCTTCATCTTCTGCATGCGGTGCAACTCCGAACAGTACGTCCGCAGCTTCAAGGGAAGCGCATAACATGCGCTCGGCGACCGAACATCGTACACCATGCCCATGAAAGGCGACGAGATCCCTCGTCAAGGATTAAAAGGAAGTCAACTACGAGTTGAGTAGTCCTTTCCCAGGATGGGAAGAACAAGAGGGTGAGGTGCACCAACGACACGACGTGAGCCCTGCTCGAACCTTGTGGACACCGTGTCCGCTCCCTATCTCTCAACTTCCAGGGAGAGTGGTGTTATTACGAATCGCCTCGACGTGGCAAAGAAGAGCAGCTGTCAGCTGCCTGTACGTCGGCTATGCGCGCGCATCCACGGCCGGTTCTGGGCCCTCGTTTGGAATACGACTTCTGCTCAGCACATTCCGCTACTGAAGCAAAGAATGCGACCAACTGATCGTTAAGCGTCTACGTGATCGGATTACCGGACACTACACAAGCTGATCTTGGCCAACAAGGAATTTCAGAGTTCGCTTCTTCACACCTCAAGAAATCCCAACGGATATTTCCTGCGCTCAACTCCGCGCTCAAAGAGGAGGTGCTCCTGTACCCGCGATGCGAACCATCCCTGTGGTACTCGTCCCTGGCAAAACCGCTGAAGAGCTCTTTGAGCTATGGGTGCAGCGGCACCGGAAACCTTCCTCGCTGTAAGACTTACAACGGATCCATAAGGAGGTGGACGTGCGCGTGGAACGCTATCTTCGGCTCGAGTTTGCCAAACTCAAGGCGCAACACCGTCTTCTTGCGTGTTGTCGCCCTGCGACGTATGGAACCATCCATAATGCCCCCGCGAGCTTTGTGGTTTCTCACACGGTGCATCTGCGACAGCAAAAGCTCAGAAACATAGCTTGAGCTCGGCTCATGGCTTTCGGCTTCCCGGACAACTGCCGAGAAGGGCGTGGCGTACGATGACGTGGAGCATCATGATCCGTCTTCTGAACGTCTACGACGTCTGGGCAGTGGCACCTCAAACTTCCACGAGTTTTCGGAGTTTGAGTATCCCCGCCACTTCACTAGAGACTAGGTTTGACCCTGTCCACGACGTCGACTCACAAGGCGTTCCACGTGATAATGGTCGCTACCGATTTCGTCGAGAAGAGTCGGCGGTGAACGATGATGATTTGGCCGATCGCCGTACGGTGACTCGCGATACTCTTCGAGCTCTTGAGGATATTGTCCGTCGCCATCGGGGCTCCGCTGAGCATCTTGCCGAGGTCGCATATCGCTATGCGGAAGACCTCGAGAGCTTAAAGCACTTTGTGCACCGACTGCCTTACGTTGAGGACTATCGGGCTCTGTCGAATTAGCTCCTAGACGTCAATAGACCATCACTTTGTGCGACGGTGGAGCGCCTTGCGCAGTCTGAAACGGAAATTGTTGCACTCCGTTCTCAGAACCAGTTGCTGGTTCAGCCTCTAGGTGGCCGATCGCCTTTTGGCGCCGCCACGGAGCGAACGCTTCCA